AAGAGCTCCGAAACCTTTTCAAATAGATCCAAAAAGCAAGTCCTACACTCTTTACGGGGGGAGGTGATAGGATCCCACATATTTTGGTATTGACTGTTTAAACTTGCATATATGGTATGTTATCATTCTCACACATTTTGGTATTGACTGCTAATTTTGTATATTATCATTCTCACGCATTTTGGTAGTGACTGCTAATTTTATATATATGGTATATTATCATTCCCACACATTTTGTTACTGACTGTCAATGTCGCACATATGGCATATTATCATTTCTCACACACTTTGTTATTGGCTATTAAGGTCAATTATTTCAAATGCTGTTAGCTGTCCATATTGTTGTAAAATGTATAAATACCATGGCTTTCTTTATCGTTGTTGCACTTCAATACACAGTCACAGTCCAGCCTTTGTCTTTTGATATTTGCGTGCTTTACTAAGTCGGAAGGTACGACGAGCAGATAGACAGATTAGTTCAGGCGCAGACAGAATAAGGTGAAAACGTCTATCATTCAATTTCCGTACAGTTATAACAATTGGCGACGGGGATTTACTTTAATTCATCGCAGTTATAGCACGCAAACGACGACAGTTTTTATTCTGTTCAGCGCAACTATATAACATTTTTGACTGTGTTAATTACAACCCAATTATAATGTCTATCTCTCTGGACGATCTTCCGGTGACTGCAGTTGAGGTTGCCAGACACACACTGCGTGATCCAGTTTTACAGCAAGTATCAAAGTTCATCCGATTTGGCTGGCCTCCACATGTTCATTCAAATGTTTTAAAACAGTTTTACCAGCGACGCCAATCCCTATCCATCGTTAATGGATGCATAATGTTTGCTGATCGTGTTGTGGTTCCAGCTAATCTTCGTGACCATGTGCTTCGGCAGCTTCATATATCACATCCTGGTGTTGGGAGAATGAAGGCGATAGCTCGCAGTTATGTTTACTGGCCCAACATCGATGACCATATCGAAGACCTCGTTCGCAAGTGTAGTAAATGTGCTCAAGCATCAAAGTGTCCACGCAAGACAGAACTATGTTCCTGGCCACGACCGGACAAACCATGGTCCCGTGTTCATGTTGACTTCGCTGGACCGTTCAATAGTATGCATTTCTTAATATGTGTCGACGCGTTTTCCAAAAGGCCAGAGATATTGCCTATGCATTCTGCCACATCAATTGCAACAGTGTCCCACCTACGTCAACTATTACTGAACGTTTCGTCGACACCTTTAAGCGTGCTTATGCAAAAGCGAAGGGGGAGGGAACAACAGAAAAAAATTTTGGATAAATTCTTGCTGCATTATCGTACGAATGAAAAAGGACAGTTATGTGTCAGACACACAGATCACGCTCTATCCAGTACCACGCAAAGGTCAACTCGACAAAGAAGAGCTCCGAAACCTTTTCAAATAGATCCAAAAAGCAAGTCCTACACTCTTTACGGGGGGAGGTGATAGGATCCCACATATTTTGGTATTGACTGTTTAAACTTGCATATATGGTATGTTATCATTCTCACACATTTTGGTATTGACTGCTAATTTTGTATATTATCATTCTCACGCATTTTGGTAGTGACTGCTAATTTTATATATATGGTATATTATCATTCCCACACATTTTGTTACTGACTGTCAATGTCGCACATATGGCATATTATCATTTCTCACACACTTTGTTATTGGCTATTAAGGTCAATTATTTCAAATGCTGTTAGCTGTCCATATTGTTGTAAAATGTATAAATACCATGGCTTTCTTTATCGTTGTTGCACTTCAATACACAGTCACAGTCCAGCCTTTGTCTTTTGATATTTGCGTGCTTTACTAAGTCGGAAGGTACGACGAGCAGATAGACAGATTAGTTCAGGCGCAGACAGAATAAGGTGAAAACGTCTATCATTTCAATTCCGTACAGTTATAACAATTGGCGACGGGGATTTACCTTAATTCAGTGCAGTTATAACATAAATACAAAGGGATTATCAGTCACTATATACCTCAAGAAGTATTTCGAACAGTGACATTAGAATACAAACTACTTGAAAAAATAAAAACACTTTAATTCTTCATCATTATACCGCGTTTTATTCAACATTTTAACAAAAAAATTTTATCAAGAAGAACAAACAGTCGAAAGACTGTGTAAAAGAAACAAGAACAACAACAACAACACAAATGACAAATTGTTTGTTCATTTCTATCCATCACCTGGATGAGAATAAGCGTAGGAACGACTTATAACAAGATGAACTCCATAAACACAAATATTTTAGAGATATCACACTATTTATCAATTGTGCACATGCTTGCATGATAATTGCGCCAGTGAAATCTCTTGTCTGCATACGCAAATTCAGTAAGTAAAAAGAAGTAACACAGCATTGCTGATATTCGAACAAGCGAAAGATTAACGTAAACTTTCAAAACGTCATTCTTGTTTTCTCTTTTCATTCCAACAAAAGTCATAATCTTTGATGAATAATAACAATAACATTTGAAGCATCAATCTGTACAATGTACTCAACAATCTGAAAGACAACCTTCTCATCACGTATAGTAAGGCACAAGGAATGCGTCATCTACAACGATCTGCATTTGAAAACAGAAATAAGAATAATTACAGAAGGAACGACTAGATAGTTGATGATTTGTCACATCAGATATTATAATTTTAGGGTACTAAAAGACTGCTCGATCTATCGAAATAAACAGTAATTTTACCGATAATATCTGACAAAGTTGTATGCTATATGGGCATAGCAATCACTGAGACGGATAGGGAACTAAGGTCCGACTGAATTCAGCCATACATATATATATGATAGATCAAGAGTTCTGCTAAGATATTCAAGTCAGAGTTAATATTATTTTGTTGTTGGTTAGTATGTCAAATAGATGTTCACCGTCCCACCAAGATAGTCAACCAGCCCATCGATAATGCCTGGTGATTTTGTTGTTGTTGGTGGTGGTGGTACCAAATAAATTACTACACGCATCCAAATGCTAAACACTCCAAACAGAAAGAGCCATGTCACTCTGCTTGGAAAAATCCTAGCCGTCTTTGTGCAGAAGAAACAAGCCCAGTCATTCATTAGTGATACATACCCTGGTCTGCTATGAAACCTGTGAATTTATGAATTCTCTGTTATTTGTCTTAATTTTTTTGATACTCAGTTTAGTGTTATACTGAGGCATATTCTCACTTACATATACTTGTTAACTATTCGTTATCTATTGAAATTGTTGATTCGGTGTTATTTAAAACACTGAATTTGTTATTATTATGGGCAAATAATTGTAGAACCTGATGAAGAAGTTATATGAATGACTGTTCTTTGTTCACTAATCAATCTTTTAAAATTTGAGTTACACACTTATTGATTTTCCCAACGTTGATGAGATAAACAACCACTCAGATTTCACCACTTCGATTTTTCTTCACTAGTCAGCCCAATGTGGTGGTGTATAATTCGTTCATGATATTTTTTTTATGTATGACTTTCATAATATTGTACTTGTATTTACATTACATTACCTTTAACTCGGTCATCGGTAATATACATTTCCAATATTAATGTAGGAGTCTTCTTGAAATTACCAATCCATGTCGGAGGAACTCTACTGGTAAATTATCAAGTGTTCATTATTTTTGACCATGTTTATTTAGGAGTCAGCAAACGTATCGGTAATACTGACACATTTGCTGGTTGTCGTTCTTTTTTTTTCTAACTCTGTTAAAAGTATTCATTTTTGTTACTGATGCAAATACCGAGTATTAGGCTATTTTACTGTCTATTAGAAACAAACACACATGGCTAGATTGAAGATCTTTGATTGTTATTATTATTATTGTTGTTCCCTTGGGTTCCTAGTGGAACATAGGGCTTCAACTGCACGTCTCCACTTGCTTCTGTCTTTTGCTGTACTTTTCACTTGCATCCATGTTAGTCCATACTCTTTCAACTCCTCTTCACACGATCTTCCCCATGTCACCCTTGGACGTCCCACTCGCCTCCTCCCTTTCGGGTTCCACTCGCGCAATGGCCTGAAGCGTGTGCGATGTCACCAACCAGCCTCCTTAGCGAGTGAGTGTCCAATCCATCTCCACTTTCTCCTGCATATTTGTTGGCTGGCGATTGGTTCTTGTTTTGTTTGTTCCTTCCCATAGTTTCTTGTTGGTGATTCTTTCCGGCCCGGCCATCTGATCTTCAGTATAGAGCCAGCGAAGATAGTTGTTGATAAAGGTCTGGTCTGCAACAGGCTGTTGGAAATATTCTTTGTGACCCGCCCGCCAAGTTTCTGATCCGTATAGGAGAAGTGACTTGACGTTTGTATTGAAAATCCGAAGTTTGTTAGATCTTTGATTGAATGATCTTTAATTTTTAAGTTTTAAATATATAATAAAAATTGACCTAAAAATAAGGGGGAGTGTATTAAAGAAGACCATATAAATGGTGTCCAGGGGCACCCGGTATTATTCTAAAACAAACCCAAATAGACGATTTCTATTCTTTAACCTGGCACGTTATCAATCTTCCCATTGTGGAAAGCATTTATGATATTTCTGCAGAAGAGTATCATTGAATTTTCGCCTCCAATCTTAATTACTGTACCACTTACATCCTATTTGTTTTTCCAACAATCGATTACAGTATTGAATGTTTAATTAGTTATTTCCACTTGATTGTGGTTGACAGTGGTGTTCATGAAAAGGAATGTTGCAAAAGTGAATTCTCTTACAGATTATTTATTTAAGTGTAGTTCATATGGTGTAATGAATATTACAGCTTCGTCACGTAAATCACTCATTTTCAAGCACTGAAATGAAATATTTAATATAGATTGTCTACTGCACAAAGTGAATTCCCACTATCAAGATACAAAACTAATGATATCAATTTCAAAGGCAAAAATGAATTGTATATTTGAAAAGCTGAGATGTAATAAAAAGTAAAATGCGTTACGGTAAATATAAACTCACTTAATTATAATCATTTTTCGTTATTTGATTCGGTTGACAAGTAGGCGGTTTCTTCTGCTCTTCACGCCATTCATTATGGGTTTCTGTGGGAAATGAAGACAAATTTCGTGTGAGTGCTTTGTGTTCTAGGCACTTAGTTTAAAAAAATCTAATAAACTGGTTACCACTAAATAAATTAGCACTTTTCAAAAGCAACTTAACCACTTACTGTACATAACAAACAAATTTTAGGCGTTTGCTCTTGAACCTGAAGTTTACTTAGTTCTTAAAACTAGTGAAATTAGTAGTTTGACAGCAAAACATCTGTTAGACATCTCAAGAATCCTTTCAAATTCAGCCATTAAGAACACAAGCGCAGCTAGGCAACAAACAGAACCGCTTTAAGAATATTTCAGTCTTGACTTGTCAACCTACAACTGTTTTATGCTATCAAGAATTCCTACTTCAACTAAATTGACTTCCATTTGGCATTTTAATGTGATGAGAACTTGAAAATCACGTTTAAATCCTCTTAATAAATAACTTAAGCTGACTGAAAAAGATTTCACGCAATTAAATACTATTTTGTCACATATATGAAAAATGTGGACATTGTACAACAGTTCGTTCACTTACCATCTGACGAAATTTTATATTTAAAGCCTTTATCCTAACCGATTTCGCTGATTTTCGCATAGTAAGGTGTGAAGACTGATTGACAGCTGCAGCTTGTGTGAAATCCACTGCCTCATTTGAGTTATTTTTATTTGGCCTAATCCATTTTCCCAGTGTATTTACATTTAACTTCTGTAGAGGTTGACGAACTTCAATTCGATCATTTCTGCGACATCTCAAATCAGCATATGTACACCGTTTTCTTACACGTATTGATTCTAGTTGTCGCATTTGATGTAGAACTGCCAATATCACGCTTAGTAGTTAGATGCTTATTCTGCAGTGGAGAGGAAAGACGACTCTCCCTTTCGTTACCCACTCGACTGTTTTGAGTATATCTGGTATGTTCATTTGGTATTCGCAATAAGTTGGCATGTTTATAAGCTACTGGAACGGAACCATCCGAATGATATCGCTTAGTATGATAAAATGATGGCACATATTCATTTTCTGTATCAATAATTTCCCAATGCCAAATGCTGTCAGGTTGATTTCCCTTATTGCAGTACTGCTCAGCAGATATTATCGACGTGGATAAAGATTTTGGAAGACTTGGTAGCGTTCTTCTTGATTCCGGAAAAGGAGTAGAAGATGATGACGCAGATGAATCACTCGGTTTGTACAGTTTGGGGGCGAAATTGTAAACGCTTTGTTGTATATCTGTTTCTTCAATAAGGCTCTCTACTTCTTCTCTCTGAATCAAGCGTGCTTGATTTGTTGAAGATCCCAACAGTTCTCTTGCCGAAGTCTCGCTTGAACGTAGCGACGTTCCCAGTATATGAGATATCTGGAAAGCACCACGTGTCGAATTTTCTTGATCGTTCATAATGTATGTGTCTGTAAGACAAAGTCAGAAAATAATTCTAGCGTTCAGCCAATCAGAAAAAGGACTGGCAATTTTCGGAAATTTCAATCATTTCATTGGTTATAAATATCCAATGTCATTATTACTATCTCCTGACTAGAAAATTTTGACAAATGTCAGGTGAGGGAAATTTCTATAAGGAAATAGGCCGTGAACTATTCGGTAGGAGGAATCTGATATTTTGTCAGTTCCCAAATCTCTCCCCTAACGCTATTCATCCTTATGTCACATAATCTTTAGTAGTGACAAATCTAGATATGATGAAGAAAAATTGCCACATCTTTTGAGAAATGAAAATTTTCATAAAACTCCTGTTGCAATTGTTCGAATTAAAAAACAATTCCAACAGTTGATATGATAACGGTAGTAATTTTGCTCAAAATATTACCAAAACAAAAATCTTACCACTGCGTTCAAACTATCCAAATGTAATTATAATTTATTCGACCTATTCCACTATGTACAAACTTTTTACTGACATTAATATTCAACACACTCTATGGCTCATAATAATGCCAGAAGTGACTTGCTTTCTTTGATGCAGAAACAGAAGAATTTTCAAGATGTCTTGAACAGGTGTTAGGACACATCGATAGTGTGTGCTTTGCAAGTAGAAAGCTTCATTCATCATTCTATTCTTCAAATCAATGCAAACCACGCTTAGTGGAAATGACTTATTACCTGTTGAGAATACCCGGAGAAATTCTATAATCTCCAAGGCAGCGAAATAATGATAGTAAAGACTATACTTAACAGGTTTGAATGTTTGTGTGACCGCTTTTGTTACAGCTGTGAATAGTCCTTTGTGCTCTAAAATGATACTATGATACATTTATTGCCACTGACATATTCAGGACCAGTTGTTTAGTTTCTCTGGTAATACACCTATTTTCACGAACTCTTTAGTATTCAGTCATATAATGTAGCATTATGGCATATGACTGTATGCTTGTTCCACTACAGTGATAAGGGTTTCGCCATACTTCTGTGTAAATGGATTGCAGTTAATCATCCATCCCTTATTATTCTATTAAATCTGAACAAAAACGTTATCAACCAGCTGGAAATCGGGACTTGACCGGAAGTTATATTCTCTAGCTCATTTGTTAAAACTATGAGGTTATCTGGAGACCACTGAGTCAAATCGCCTCGTAACATCCTCATGCAAAAAATCAAGAATATCTCAGGTAGTCCAGTCAGAAATCATGAAACAACTTTTATAAATTGGGGAAAATTTCTATTCAGACATTTAGCAAATGAAACAAAGTTCTCTTCGATAAACTTCTCGTCCAGCTATACAGTTATATATATATATATATATATATATATATATCGAGAGAGAGAGAGAGAAAGAGAGTGTTATCTTATCAGTGTGTTGACGTTCACTAACTTCTAAGTGGCAAGGCACCCTTGATTATGCGTGTAGTAGGGAACTTTTCTAAACACGACAAGTACCGTCAAATTTTCTATTAACTAACCATTACTACCCGGATAAACAGACCCATTTTCTGCACATGAAAAGCCGGTCCAATCATTTTGTATGTAGTAGCTTTATTCCGAGTTTCACTCATCATTATAACGTCTAGTATTGGGTCACACTTTGTGACTACCCACTTTAAATTTGTTCTGTTGACCGATCATCTATCCTTGTATGACTTTACCGATTACAACAGATTTTCCTGATACTACTTTTCCTGACCAATTATCGATGCAAAACTATTATTGGGAATACCACAGCGAAGAGAGAACGGGTATAGGAGCACTACTACGTTTAACTTCCAGTTTTAGAAAAGGCAGTGAATAAGCACTGATTTGTAATGTCCAAAGTTTCAATGACTGATGGCTTGTCGTATAATAAGTGGCTGAAATGATAAGTGAGCCTATTCTTAAGGTATTAGAGTACAAAATTTATGTTCTCCGTCACTCCATTTTGTCTAAGTTGTATTGAAAAGGTCTCATGAAAGAAGGTACGAGAGATGAAGATGGTGGCAAAAGAGACAAATATTAGAATTGTATGATAAACGTTGAGTTAGGATAGTCTTTCAAAATTCAACAAACTGACAGTATCTCTGATCCTCTAAATATAGTTGTAACAACAGAAGACAATGGCTAGGCAACAGATCGTTTTATTACGAAAATCAACACGTATTTATATAAATTTCACATACATTATTATAGCTCACCACATAGTGATACTTTCTTATCTACTGTCATTTGTTTAGTTCGCCTCATATTTATTTATATTTTACTTCACAAATCTAGATGCAGTCAAATAGTGATCTGGAGAAGTCGATGAAATCATCATCTGAGCCTAATCCAGATGAAGAAAGACGACACACTGTTGACGAACCGCCATCACCGTTTCCGGGCGTGAACATTTCACCCATTTTTAGTGGAAGAGAGCTCTCTACGAAGACGAAGAAGATCGCATCAAATCAGCTAACAATTAGTACTCCCAATATGGCGGATGGGTGTCCCGGCTTCTCACTGATTTCAAGCAGTTGTTCAGGAGAACAAATGGATTCTCAGGATGAAATAATTAGACCACTAAACGCGATGTACGTTATTCCTAGACTCCAAAAACATAATCAGTCATCCTCACAAATGGACAAGAGGGAAAACACTTCTATCGATGCCCAAGAAAAAAGGGCGATAAATGAAACATATGTAATAAAAAGAGACGAAAAATAAAGGAAAGAAGTACGCAAGTCAGATAATTACTTTTATTTTGAGTATGATGTGCAAAAGCCTCATCTCAACACATTATAAGACTTTGAATACAATAACCATCACTTTGTATAATATGGTAAAATAAACGTGTTTTCAGTGAGAAGCTACTTTACTTATTACTTTGATATGGAGTGAACAAATGAAGAATTGATGCCGATTCTTCGTAGTCTGTTTGGTTTATTGTGTACTAGTACCATGTCCACTGGAGTGGAAAGATGCGGTTCCTATTCTTCCGGGTTTCATATGCTGACCGTTGGTTTGTTCATACGTTCACATATCACTCGTCGTTTGTTCAGGATCAGTATGATGTCAACTATAATAAACCTAGCTACAGTTGTCTTACTCCTCACGTTTACTGAAGGATAAACAAGCTGTGAGGAGTCTAGTGCTCCGTGTGACAGTTTCATGGTCGATTGGCAGGATACGACACGTGTTGAAGGGCTGTTTCATCGTAGATCAGAGGAAATGAATAGTGTGGAAATGTCATTGTGGTCGTATGTTCTTTGCATTCATCTCATACTTAAGTGTCAGGGGAATAAGTTCAGCAGGCTTGTAGTTCACTAGAGTAGTTGACGTTTCCGTAAACCTAAAACGTTTCTGTGGAAGGTGAGTTTTCTTTCAAAACCTGACATACATGAATGAGTTGCATTGCCTTCTATGTGTTAAGCGTTATGAAAACCTATGTTGAAACCGGTAATCACGCGTTAACTCGAAACCAAATTCACCATAGCTGAATGGCCATTCTAGACAGCATAATGTAAGGGTTTGAAAATAACGATGACTTTGATTTACCGTCGGAATTTCGGATCAAACAACCAACTGGATAAAAATTGTATTGTCATAATGTTAGTCTTGGAAGCAATAAGTGTGCATGGTTTATTACTAGCAGACAGAATGTGAGAAACAAATGTGGCCTGATGAAATGAGTAGGTTTCTATCATTTCGCGGATTCCTCTCATCTGCTCACAACCCAAATAACACCATAATATACAAGTTGTGAGACTTCATCACGTTGACAACAAGGTATTGTTAGGTACTATGAATGACAAGGTGGTGCCACAGTATCGAAATTATTTAATGTTGACAGAACTGACTGGTTACAAATAAATGAGGTGAATGTTCTTGGAAGAAAGGGAGTGGAGTTCGAAATTCTGATCAGAAAGGAAGTCTAACTAGAAAGAGTACTTTGACAGTGACAATAAGTGGTGTAACTTTGAAACTACTTTTCAGTGTCAGGAAGAGACGGGCGAGTGACACTGAGATGAAAACCGAATTTTCTAAACAGAACAGAAGATCTGGGAGAATACGTGGCGCAATCGGAGATAGATAACCCTATTCTGTAAGTATAATCACCAAGTCATTATAAATTATTTCAGATAATCCCAGTGTGTTTAAGAAAAACCAAAACAAGATTTATCTGAACGTTCAGTTGTGTAAGCCACAGCTTCTTCATCAGAATAATTCGGATTTTATTAATCACAGCGAAACGTTCAGGAAAACCCTGTTTGGACTTTTTCATAAACACGCTGGGATTATTTGAAGTAATTTATTATGATGTTTGAATGTGATTCGTCGCTCAAATTATTCCAGGAAATTCGTAACATCTGCGGTCGGGAAACTTATAAACACGAAGGTAGTGCAACATTCACCATTGACTCTTACTACGTAGATTGATTGGACTAGGTGAGGAGCGGACATCGACTGACACGGAGAGCATATGTCTTTTGCGTGTCGAACCCTCGGTAATCTTCCACACTGAGCAGTGTTACCTGACATAGGATTGGGTTGGAAAGTAGTTGGAGATGGTCGAGCTAAAACATGACATCCGTCCGTGAAGACATCGATTGTTGTTTTCAGCCATCTAGTGAGGTGTAGCTTGTCTGGCTGGCGTCATTGGAACGCTAACTAACTGGTGTATATTGCTCAATCAGTGATTTCGAAATCATGTAGATATTGCTCTACTACCTCTACCTTCAACTGCATAACTCTTACCTTCGTTTCTTATGCTAACTGTTAATGACTAATCAGTGCAACGTTATCTTTAGCAAAATTTTACGATTCATATTGAAAGCATGTTTTCTTCTCCTGAAGACATGCTTCAATTACTTACCACTATTGATCAAACACTGTCGAAATTCTCCCTGTGTGTGTGTGTGTGTCAATATCGCGTACATGGCTTCCTTCGAGATTACGTTGTCATGAAATTTGTGCCACAGAACACTCATCTTTTC